CTAGTACAAAAAAATTTTAATCTTTAAATTTTCTTCTTTACAGAGAAAAAAAAAATACCATCCAATCTTCATCAGTTGGAAAGAATCTGGCCATACCACTAATATTACATTTTATAAGGTGCCATACACTTCAGAATGCTTTTGTGTCAATTAAACATAGAATCCCATCCTCTGTCTCTGCTAAAGCAGGAATGTGCTGTTCATGCCTTTAATCCACTAACATCCACTCCGTCCCCCTGTGTGGCCCTCCCCTGGGGATACAGCCTAGCATAGACGACTGAAAGGTCAACAAGTAAATACTGGCCTCCAATTCTTCTGCTTTGGTGCGTATATCACAGTTTGAATCTGTGTATTTATTTCTTTGTTTATTTGTTAATCTCTGGAAGGTCCTCAGGAAGAAGGGTCACCTCTGTTTTGCCGGCTCTGAATAGTCAATGCATATCACACAGTGCATGGGATGAATCCTCAATGAATCAGACAGGGGCGCTAATAAATGCTGGGACTCGACAAAGAACAGTAGAACAGAGAGGGGACGCTCTGTGGTAATCCCAGAGGCCTTCAGAGAGCAGGAGAGGCAGGTGATGGGCTTAAAGGAAAAAGCAGGGATTTGGTGGGCAGAAGGCAGCATTCCAGGAAAAGAATTGTCTTCCTGAAGTGCCAGAAAGGAAAAAGCCTCAGAGGCCGCCTCTCTCCTCCAAATTTTAGAGCCAGAAACTAACTCAGGAAACTATGCTGCATAGGCAGGAAGGAAACTGGCCTGGGCAGGTCAATAGCTCCTGGGCACCAACTTTGGGCAGAGCTGGGAGACAGACAGATAGGCAGACACACACACACATCAACACACACTAGTCTGGCCCCCAGAGCTGTGGAAAGCCTATCTGACTCCAAGCTTTCCCTAAAGTAAGGCCAACAAAGAGGAAAATAAACACAGCCTTCCTCCTTCCCTTCTACGTACATATCCCTGGACCTCCAAGGACCAGGAATGTGGTCAGAAATTGCTGACTCAAACTCCAAATGTCTCTAAGGTCAAATGTCCACGTTCTATCCCACCATATATTAATGATTTAAAAAAAATTTTTTTTTGGTTGCAGCCGTCGTCGTTGTTTGGCGGGCCTGGGCTGGATT